TATATATATATATCGGTCGGTGGGACGGCCGGGTTCCTGGGTTCTGGGATCCTGGGTTCCCGGCTCCGGGCTCCAGGCCGTTTTCGGAGGGCGGCCGGGTTCCAGGGTTCCCAGTTCTTGATTCCGAGGTACAGTGCCGTTTTTAATACAGGCTCCGCGTGCGGATCATGTATAAAAAGTGCAGGGGGGGAGTATTAAAAACAAAGATGAGTTCATGCATACATTGATTCATACATTAATCATGTATTACAATCCCATGTTTTTTTTAAATCCCATGTCTTAAAAACTGCCCCATAGGTCGTCCGGGTTCCTGGTTCTGGGGTTCCCGGCAATGTGAGGTTGGTCGGGTTCCCGGGCTTCCGGGTTCGGTGGGCGGCTGGGATCATGGGTTCCCGATTCTAGGGTCCGCGGCAGTGTGAGGTTTGGGGGGGTTCTGGCGTCCCAGTTCCCGTTTTTGTGTTCTTGGCAGTCTGAGGTTGTGGGGTTTGGGATGTTTTGTTTGTGGCCGAGCGCTTGGGTCTTCGATCGCAAGGAGTACATAGGGTCAGAGAGTTGCGAGCGGAGTTGACCAGGTGGCTTGGAGAGAGGGGAGATAGAAAGAGGGAGCGTTTGCGACACGCTGCTATGGGGAGGTCTGAGTGAGAGGGTATGCAGTCGAAGTACAGATCGGAGAGCGTAGGCATGAGGTGAAGTACAGATCAGAGAGAGACAGGATGAGAAACACAACTAAAGAAACACATAAACATAAACATGGAGAGAGAGAGCGAGAGAGAGAGAGAAACACACAGAGACATAATACGAGAGAGAGAGAGAGAGAAAAAAAACAAGAGAGTGGGAAGCCGAAAAAGATAGAGAGAGACACACAACTATTGGATCCATATACGTACAACATCTATACATGCACACACACCTAGACGACCACCCTTCGGGTGATAAGGAGGTTTGGGGGGAGGAGCCAACGTTCCACTCTATCGATCTCACTATCAATCTCACGGACTCGTGCCCCGGCGGCTCCCTAGCCGGAAGAGGGTTTATTTCTCTTGCCCGCCCACGCAGCGTCGCCTCTCCCGCACGCACGACACGAACACGAAACCGAAGCCGATTTCCCAGTGGGGGTGCTCTCCGTTTCATTGCGATCTTCTCCGTGCCTCCGATACATTTGCATGTCTGTACACATATATGTATGTGTATGCCTATATGTGCACATGTACAAGCATCTGCATATGTATATGTTCATGTATGTGTATATGTGTATGCATATGTATATGTCTATGTACATGTACATGTATACGTATATTTGTATATATATAAATATATGAAAGAGCGCGTTCTGTGGTCGCTTGGAGGGGAGGGGGGGTTGGAACCGGACCCCCCCCCCCCTTCCCGTGACGGGGGGGGGGGGGTTCAACCTCCCCCCCTCCCTCCCCGCCCCCCCCCTGCTTCCCCTCTCCCTCCTCGGGCCGGCGCTTGCGTCGGCGGCGGCTGGCGACGGCGGCGGGGACGACGATTTCCATTTCTGGGCCGGCGCCGGCGCCTGCGGCGGCGGGCGGCGGTGGCGGGGAGAGTCGACGAGGACGGTGGTGGTGGTGGTGGTGGCGGTGGTGGTGGTGGTGGTGGTGCCGGTGGTGGTGGTTGTGGTGGTGGTGGTGTGGTGGTTTATTGTGGTGTTGGTGGTTGTGGCGGTGGGTGGTGGTGGCGATGGTGGTTTGGTGGTGGTGTGGTGGTGGTTTGTGGTGGTGGTGGTGGGTTGTGGTGGTGGGTTGTGGTGGTGGTGGTTTGGTGGTGGTGTTGGTGGTGGTTTGTGATGGTGGATGGTTGTGGTTGTGGTGGTGGTTTGTGGTTGTGGTGGTGGTTTGTGGTGGTGGTGGCGGTGGTGGTGGTGTGGTGGTTTGTGGTGGTGGTGGTGGTGGGTTGTGCTGCTGGTAGTGGTGGTGGTTTGAGCGGGTGGTGGTGGTGGTTGTGGTGGTGTGGTAGATTGTGGTGGTGGTGGTGGGTTTTTGTGGGGGTGGTGGTGGTGATAGTGGGTTTTTGTGGTGGTGGTGGTTGTGGTGGTGTGGTGGGTTGGTGGTGTGGTGATTTGTGGTGGTGGTGGTGGTGGGTTGTGGTGGTGGCTGTGGTTTGTGGACGTTTGTTGTGGTGGTGGTGATGGTGGCGGTGGTGGTGGTGGTGTGGTGGTTTGTGGTGGTGGCGGTGGGTTGTGCTGCTGTTAGTGATTTCAGCGGTGGTGGTGGTGGTGTGGTAGATTGGTGGTGGTGGTGGCAGTGGTGGTGGGTTTTTGTGGTGGTGGTGGTGGTGATGGTGAGTTGTGGTGTTGGTTGTGGTGGTGGTGGTTGTGTGGTGCTGTTGGTGGTGGTGGTGGTGGGTTGACACGGTGGTGGTGGTGGTAGTGGTGGTGGTGGTAGTGGTGGTAATCGTCGCTGCGTCCCCGCCGTCGCCGGCGCTGCTGGCCGCCGCCAGCGCCGGCGCCGGCGCGAGGGGGGGTGGGGCGTTTGAACCCCTCCCCCTTCTCCTTGGGCTGCCGCTGCTGGCGGCCGCCAGCGCCGGCGCCAAGGGGGGGGGATTTCGGGAGGGGGGGGGCTTGGGGGGAGGGGAGTCCCCTTGGTTTTGATCGACGGCGCCGACGGTTGGGGGGGGGGCCTACCCCCCGGTTTGAAACGCGCCGCCGAATGTTCCCAAAGCAAGCGCCCGTGAAACGCGTTCTCTCATATATCTATATGTGTGTACATGATTATATGCATACGTTTATGTATATGTGTGTACGTGTACATGTATATGTATATGTCTATGTATATGTCTATGCTTGTGTATATGTACATATATGTGTGACGTACGTATGTATGTATGCAGTATGCATGCATGTATGGATGGATGTATGTATGCATGTTTGTGTATACATATACCTGTATGTGCATATTCCCTAAACAGCTTGCTGAACGGGGTGCTGTTGTGATAGAAGCTAATTCTGGCCGAGGGAAAGGGGAGCAGAGACATCCTCACAAAAATCTGATGGTCCGGGCCGTTTCGCTTGAGACATCCTCACAATTCTCGTTTCTGAGTTGGCCGGGATTGGCCGTTTCGCTTGAGACATCCTCGAAAAGTTGCGCTCCGAGACGCCGCGCGAGAGGTGGTCCGGGCCATTTCGCTCGAGACATTCTCACAACTCTGGGCTCCGAGATGACGCGCGAGAGGTGGTCTGGCCCGTTTCGCTTGAGACATCCTCACAACTCTGGGCTCCGAGATGACGCTTGCGAGGTGGTTCGGCCCGTTTCGCTTGAGACATCCTCCAAGCTCTGGGCTCTGTGATGCCTCGCGAGAGGTGGTCCGGCCCGTTTCGCCTGAGACATCCTCGAAACTCTGAGCTCTGAGATGCCGCGCGAGGGGCGGCCTGGGCCGTTTCGCCTGAGACATCCTCGAAACTCTGAGCTCTGAGATGCCGTGCGCGAGGTGGTCCGGCCCGTTTCGCCTGAGACATCCTCGAAACTCTGAGCTCTGAGATGCCGCGCGAGGGGTGGCCTGGGCCGTTTCGCCTGAGACATCCTCGAAACTCTGAGCTCTGAGATGCCGCGCGAGAGGTGGTCCGGCCCGTTTCGCTTGAGACATCATCGAAACTCTGAGCTCTGAGATGCCGCGCGAGAGGGGTGCTCCGGCCCGTTTCGCCTGAGACATCCTCGAAACTCTGACCTCGGAGATGCCTCGCGAGAGGTGGTCCGGCCCGTTTTGCCTGAGACATCCTCGAACTTCTGAGCTCTGAGATGCCCTGCGCGAGGTGGTCCGACCCCGTCTCGCCTGAGACATCCTCGCAACTCTGAGCTGTGAGATGCCGTGCGCAAGGTGGTCCAGCCTGTTTCGCACAAGACATTCTCGCAACTCTGAGCTCCCAGATGCCGCGCAGGAGGTGTTCCAGCCTGGGGGCCCAGAAGATCACATGTTACATATCCTCCCTGGGACCCTGGGAGCCCCACGAGGCCCTCGAGAGCTCCAGGAGGCTGCAGGACGCCCAGGACAGGCCCCAGGGGTCCCCAGGAGATTCCCAGGAGGCTCCCAGGAGGCCCCAGGAGGCCCCCTATCAGAACGTGTCAAGTTAATACACATCCGGTGTCGATTCGTTGATTTTTCCTGCTCTTGTGCCCCCCCTCCATTTTGAGGGGCCCAAGCGGCCACAGGTTAGATATCCCCCCTGGGAGCCCCAAGATGCTTCAGGAAACCTCAGGTGGAGTTCAGGAGGCCACAGGAGGCCCAGGAGGAAGCTCCAGGAGGTCCCCAGGAGGCACCAGGAGGCACCAGGAGGCCCCCGCAACTCGGAGCTCTGAGACGCCGCGCTCGAGGTGGTCCAGCCCGTTTCGCCTGAGACTTCCTCGCAGCACGTTTCGCCCGAGACATTGTCGCAACTCTGGGGTCCGAAATGCCGCGCGCGAGGTGGTCCAGCCCGTTACGCTGGAGACATCCTCGCAACTCTAGGCTCCGAGATGCCGTTCGGGATGAAGAGGAGGTCGAGGAGGAGGAGGAGGAGGAGAAGGAGGAGGAGGAAGAGGAGAAGGAGAAGGAGAAGGATATGGAAGGGAGAAGGGGGAGGCGGATGATGATGTGCATGAGGGAGCAGGCAGGAGGAGGGGGAGGAGGAGGAGGAGGAGGAGGAGGAGGGAGAAGGAAGGGAGTTGCAGGAGAGGACCTAACGGGAAGCGAGTGTGACGTGGACTTGTCAGAACGTGTGCGAGAGGTTGGCCGGCCCGTTTCGTTTGAGACATCTTTCCAATACTGAGCTCCAAGATGTCGCTCGCGAGGTGGTCCGGCCCGTTTCGATTGAGCCATCTTCGCAATGCGAGGCTCGAAGATGTTGCGCGCGAGATGGTCTGGCCCGTTCTGCCTGAGACGTTTCGCAGCACAGGGGCTCCAATCACAACCTCTCTCATTCCTTCTCCCGCCTCCCTCTTCCCACTTCCCGCCTGGCTCCTCTTCCGTCCCTCCTCCCGTCTCCCGCCTTCCGCTGCTGCGCCTCTGCCTCCGCCTCCCCGTCCCCGCCGTCGTCGTTTCTGCCGCCTCAGCATCCGTCATGCGCGCACTGCCTTCCGCCCTCCCCAGACATCCGACGTCACGATTTCTTTGTTGAGACGTGCGCCGCGTACCTCTCGATATCATCCCCGGGGGAACCATCACGACATGCCCCCCCGCTCCCGCGCCCTCCCCCGCTTCCTCTTACAGTTGCTTCCGAGTTCACAGCATGGCGGTGGAGCCTCTCACAGTGCCGATCCGACAGCTTACTCGTCGACCAGGTGCGAGAGAGTACGACACCCTCTAGCGTTAGCCTCCTGATAGGCATGCGTCGCACACATGTTCGTGCAAACATATCATGTGCAAACATCATGTAACCATGCTCTAACATGCCATGCCAGCCCGCACTGGACGGGCACGCAATCAACCTTGGAAACCGCAGTGGGTCTAAAAACCCTGTTTGGGGATACTGCACTCCGGCTATATATATATATATATATATATATATATGTGTGTATGTATATGTATATGTATATGGAGTGGCTGTGGGCCCATCCCGCCACCATGCCTGGGTAGTGGGTATGAACCCTAGCAGATGCTCGCTGGGATCTGGTGGGAGGCTTCTCGGGGACCTCTGAGGGGCAGTTTGGATGCCTCTGGGGTTTTCTGGGGGGCATTTTTTTGGCCTCTTGGGGGCCTCTTGAGGACCTCTTGGGGGCCTCTTTGGGGGCCTGTGGGGTGTCATGGGCGCCCCCTGAGGCCTCCTGGGTGCCTCTTGGGGCGGAAGGCTCGGATTTTCGGTTCATGCGTTTTCTTTCGGGCCCCTTTTGGCGCCATCTTGAGGTTTTTTTTGGCCGGTTTCGGTGTTTCTTGGGCTCTTCGGGGTCTCTTGGGGCCTCTGGGGGCCTCCTTGGGCCCTTTCGGGGTGGAAGACTAGAATTTCGGGTTCGTGGCCCCCTTGTGGCCCCTCTTGAGAGTGTTTTGGGGTTCTCTGGGGCCGTTTTGGGCGCCTCTTCGGCGGTCTTGGAGGCGAGTGGGCGGCCTCTTCGGCCGTCTTTGGGCGGGCGAGGCTTCTTGGCCCGTCTTGGAGCGTCGGGCAGCCGAAACGGCAAGAAAACCAAACATCTTCAAGCACCGAAAGAGCATCCATGAATGTGGCAAGCGAGCCGGAACCCTCTGGGACCGCCTTGGAGGCCTTTTGGAGCTCCGTTGGGCCGCCTGGGTGCTCCCTCAAGCCCCAAAAGGTCACGCGACAGACCGCGCCAGAGCCCAGGGGAACCGCGTCGCGCCCCAGAAGAGTTGGGCCGAAGGGCTCCGAACCCCCGGGAGGCTCTTCAGGAGTGAGCACTGAGGCTCAGAGGGGGGCGTGAGAGGACCTGAGGAGACGCCCACCCCATGCTTCGAGGCACGATGGCGGATATACATAGATGTATGTTTAATTGGGAGTGGGTCAGTGACAACAGAGTGCAGAGTGAGGTGTGAAGGCATCTCAAGTAAGCATGCACCATAGTATGACATGTATGGAACCGGGCGAAAGAAAGAAC